AGCATTTAAATACAGGATCTACAAAGGAGCAAACAGGAGGCAGCTGGCAGTGACTGACGAGAGGACAGGAATGAGAGGTAAGACCAAACGGGCACCAGGTGTGGCTTGTTAGGCCGCTAGGGAGGGAAACAGGAGGGGTGTGGCAGACAGGACAGGTAGGATGGGACACTTATAATTATTGTCAGTATATTGCTCAGCTTGCGCTGCACTATTTTATTCCTTTATTATTTATATTTATCTTTTTCTTAATTTATGTTTTTTGTTCTTCTATGTTATCTGTGAGTGTAAAGCACCAATACTGACAAAACAAATTCCTTGTACAAGCACCTGTACCTGGCCAATAAAGTGAGTTCTGATTCTGATTCTGATTAATGTGCAATGGGGCAATACATGACTGGGTTAATAGCCCTGAAACCAAATGCCAATGCACTAACCCTAACCCTAACCCTGACCCTGAAAATCCAAGGGGGTGCATTGTCTCCCAGAGTCCTGACCAAAGCACACTGTCATGACCTGCTCGTACGATCCTCGTGTGTACCACGCCCCCCTCATTACCTCATGTGAATTCCTGATAGTTCTCCGCTGTTTTGCATCTCTGTCCTTTGGTCTTGTGTGTTTAAGTCTGAGTCTGTATCGTCAGATCTGTCATTAATGTTCGTCCGATGCTGTCCTTTGCTTCCCTGTTTTCCCCGTAATAAATCCCATTCCTGATTATCCGTCTCCCTGCTCCTGCTTCCCTGGATGCGATCGTGACACACACTTCACTGAACATGTCTGTCTCATTTGGTTATAGAGTCATTAACCCATTTATGTTTGGCTTCTTTGTGCATCATAGGCAGGGGCTCCGTAAAGGGGGGGGGGGGGCAGTTATGACAATTCCTAACAGGGGCTCTAAAAAATTTGGAACATAATATGATTGGTCTGGGTTGGAGGCCGAAAATCTCTAATCACACCCCCAATCATAGGGGTACAGTATAATAATGAATAAATATGTATAGACATATATAACCCAAAATTCTAAGGGGTCGGCATTGTTCCCAACAGGCCACGGACCAAAGAATACTGTGCTGGACACGACTTAGGGCTATTAACCCATTCATATGTTGCCAAATTGCACATTAACCCTAACTAACCCTATATATAACTAACCCTATATACTAACACTAACCCTTTTCCTCTGCTCTTGGCTGGCAACATGTCCGCTGTTTGCACAGGTATGTGCAGTTCCATCTCCTTCTCATTCAACAGTCTTTCTCCTGGATTATTTTCTGGAATTCTACACAGAATTTCCTCAAATCACCAAATTCACAGGTTGTACTTAATGTCAGTAGCTCAGCTAAGTATTGATCAAAACTTACACCTTGTCTCTGGTCTTAGGGCAAAAACATATACAATGTGATCCCTGTATCCACAGTTTCAGTAGCAGCAGTTTCAGGTATCTGCGGTTTACCGTTTGAGATAGTTTGAAAATTGTTTATAAGTGTCAAACCGTGCGACAAGCGAGTACAGGCTGTAAGCTGGTGTTACGGCACAGGCGGGAAAAAGGTAACGATCCACTGGTGGCTCGGTGACAAAAGGAGCTTATATACAAAACAGAGCAGAACAAACTGCGAAGAGCACAAAGTAAAAGGACCATGAGGGACCAAAAAGCAAACTGGGAAAACAAGAAGTAACTACAGGAATCCTAAAGTAACTTAAGAAGGAAACAGGGTAACACAGGATTACAAAACAAGCAGCATGGATACACAGTGAGTGACTAAAGACCTGAACAGGGGCAGGCAGTTAAATACAAAGGTAACTGGGCTAATGAGGGGCAAGGTGTGGAACATCAGACACTCAACCAATAACAACGGCGCAAAGTGTTTAGTATTGCAAAGTTTAAGTGTTTAGGAACAACAGGAACTCAGTCACAAAGTGGCAGATCATGTAAAGTAACAGCGGGGTCATCGAGTGCTGAGGCACATAGTGCATAAAAATCGCGATTGGTCTGTTAACTAAAGGGGGCGGAGCTTACATGGTGTTCCTTCACAGGCACAATAAGTGCTCATTAGAACTCGAATACCACCCCTGCCCCCCCTTATCACACACCAGGCACAGATAGGCATATATATTCTGAAGAAGGAATAAAAAACTTTAGCAGTTTTTGTTAATGTGCTATTTTACATTAGTATAAAACGTGCTGTTTCAAATGTTCCCCACAATGTAAAAAAGCCTGTTTTTTTGATGTTGTGGGGACCATTTTTCAGGTCGTCACAAAGATCTATGAATACAATCAAAAAACTAAAAATGGCAAAAGTCTCATACTTTGATTGGTTACTGAAGCTTAGGGCTGGGTAGGGGTTAAGGTCGTTATGTTGTGATTAGAGTTTTCCCCATTGAAATGAATGGAGAGTCCCCACAAAGATATAATTACAAACCTGTGTGTGTGTGTGTGTGTGAGCGCGCGCGCGTGTGTGTGTGTGTGTGTGTGTGTGTGCATGTGTCTGGATAGGCTCTGGACCCCCTGTGACCCTGAATAGGACCAGCATTTACAGAAGATGGATGGATGGATGGATGGATGCATATAATAATCATCCATGTACTTATACCATCAAAGAAATAAAACACTTTAGCATTTTTGTTTAATGTGCTATTTTAAATAAGTATGAAATTTTGATTAACACGTTGTAAGAAAGATGGACTCTTTATTATTAAGAGTTATTCATAACTCTATTTTAATGTCATATTTTAAATAAGTATAATATATTTAATAAGTCGTATGGAATAAAACACTTCCGCATTTAGAACATTTTTTCGCGAATATCTCCCCAGACAGGCCAACAGAGGGCAGCACATATCACCCGCACCAGGGGGTTATGTGTTCCTTATTAGGTGGATATGGTCAGCTGTGTGCACATGGGCCTGTATATAGCTGTTGGTTTAAGTCCACTTTTTGCGATTATCTGCCTGCGGTCAGCGATGTTGTGTGTGTGTGTACAGAATATATACACATAAATAGACACACACACTGATTATACTTTATATATACCGTCCATGTTGGCGAATCTTGTATCACTGCATGAACTCTCACAGAACGATACAATTCAATATATTTACGGTTTATTACTTTGTCCGGCTCCCCCACTCATTTTTTATATCCCTTTTCTAGTATATACAAATTGGAAGGCTGGCTGGGACACTTGATCATTGCTTGCTGGAGTTTTGCATCAGCTCGCAAAACATACGCGTTTTGTTTCGGTAACCTAATATAACAAAGTTTTAAGCAAAAGTGGACTGACCGCCCGTTACGTCAATGAAGTGGCGAATGCCATAGGGGTTGACAGATGACAGAGGCCATAACATCTAAAACAGTTTTTTGAATGTCGCGCGATCTACCTGCACTACCTTTGCAATCTACTGGTCGGTCGCGATCGACGTATTGAGCACCCCTGGTTTTAGCAAAGTGTAGCAACCGTTTTGCAGGGTTTACCTCGACGGATGAACGTATGACAGCACATGTCATGCAGATCATCGAAGGGGTTCCGGGCTAGATTATGGATGAGACAGTGCAGGAGTCCTGCCGTG